TGACCTCTGAGAGAGAAAGTTCTATTGTGTGTCCTATGAATAATGTAGCTCTGGAAGAGCTGAGTTTCTGTGTTTGATGAAGTAGGATAGCTGGCTGGCCAGGGTAAAGGGGCCAACGCCATTTGGTAAATCAGAAAATAACCATAGAGAACAAAGAGACTAGAGATCATACCCAGTGTAGAAGTTCCCTCTGGTGGTCATCCAGTCACTGTTTGACCCTCAGTTTGACTCTAATGAATGTCTAGTAGGAGCAGAGCACTTATTTGTATTCTGTGTACAGAGTGCAAAAGGCACTATTTTTAATAAGGTTTTAAAAGTTCTCTGCCAACCTGGCCATGCTCTTTGTCTACAAATCACGGAACAACATGATCTCAAAAGAGTGAAAATTGTAGGTAACCCCAAAGGCACACAGTAGATGTAAGCAGGCTACCCCATATTACCAATGATAACTTGTATGCAAAGAGTGGAATGAAAGACATCAGTGAGGACATATATGATTAGAAAAGGAGGTGGGTCAGTATACCGGGAAAGTGAAAAATAGCAGAAAGATAGCTCTAGAGCTTTACTGGACCTGATTGTACACAAGTATGACTAGAACCAGAGGAAGGTGTCTTGCACATTGATTAGGTCCTCTCTGGAAGACCTAAATTATATACAATTCTGGGAAAGAGCGACACAGGATGAAAAGGTATTCAGGAGCCGTCATCTGTATTGGTGAAGGGAGGGCTTACATGAACGGCTAGGTTATATAGTGGATAGAATCCTGGATTTGGAGTTAGGAAGAATCTTAGTTCAAATACTGCTTCAAAAACTATGATCCTAGGCAGGTCATTTAATTTCTTTCAGCTTCAATTTCCCCACCTGTAAAATGGGGTAATGTGATTTAAGGATCAGATGAGATACTAATTGTAAACACTTAGTACAGTGCCTGGCACATGGTAAACATTATATAAATGTTAGCTATTGTTGTTGGGAGGTTGAAATGAGAATACACATACAGGCATATTGCAAACTTTAAAATCCTGTGTAAAAGGGGCAGCGAGGTGATGCAGTGGCTCTGGAGTCAGGAAGGCCTGAGTTCAAATCTGACCTCAGACACTTGAAACTTACTAGCTATGTGACCTTGGGCAAGTCACTTAACCCCAACTGCCTTGCCAAAAAAAATGCTATATAAAGGTTAATTATTATTGTGCTATTATTGTTGTATTTGTGAATTCACTTAGCCTGTGAATATTATTAGTGAGAAAATTTTAAATTTCATTCTGTGTGAATGTATGTACATTTGAGATTTTCGTGACCTTGCACTAGAAAGCATTTTGGAAACCTAAAAGGCCTATATGAAATTTATCTATCAGTCAGTCAGCTGTGTGACCCTGGATATAAAGAGAATATGAGGCTACATGGTATAGGAGAAAAAACACTATGCCAAAGGTTAAGAAACTTATGTGTTATTTCAGCTTTGTCTCTATTAGTTGTGTAATTATCTTAGACAAATCACCTCTTGTCTTACATTCTAACAAATAGGGCGGTGGTGTCCAACTGTAATAGAAATGAAGGCCACTATACCACACATAAGGAATCCCTGTGCCTGCATGTTGACTTAGAAAACCATACATTAACATGGTTATATTTATTTATCGATTTTTCAAAATATTTCCTTAATACATTTTAATTTAATTCAGGCTACACTTGAGAGTTTTGTTAGCTGAGTAGCCCACAGTCTGTGTGTTTGACACCCTTGAGCTCCAGAATAAGAGGTCTTGGGATACCCACCTCACTAGAGCTGTGATGATCAGATGTAAACTTTTAAAATTGCTAATATGTAAGGAATTCTTACTGTTATCATCCTCATCCTATTAAAACAGGTAAGCCTGTGTCCTTGGACATTATAAAAGTTCTCCTCTATAGAGATTTGCTATTCATGGAAGATGAAGGTTAAGTTCCAGGAGCAAAGAAAAAGGACTTTTGTTCAGATCTCTTATAAAGATAAAAGGGAAAAAATGAATATAAATATAATCCTTTAGGGAAACCTCTTACTGAGCAAAAGATAAGGTACAGGACCATGAATCCTATGAGTGGACAGACCCTGAAGCCAGTACTGTCTGCACTATACCACAAAAATAAGAATCGGCTTTTCAATAGTGATCCCCCATACAGCTCTGAGACATTGCTACATGGTGACTAAAAAGGCAGAAAATTCACAGCTTGCCAAGAAGAGTTCATACATAGCCCAGGAAATGAATTTAACTCCCAAATACCGACTCAGGAGATAGACTCTTGAGGAAACATGAGATGCTTGTTGGCGCCATTGAGAAATGGACCTTAAAAGGAAGAATATTATCCGGAACTGGCCCACTGTCACCTTCTTCAACAATTGGAAGGAACCAAGGGTCCCAAGTGAAAAAAAAAGTTTAGGAAAATTCAACTGTTGGCTTCCAAAGTAATTTTCAACCAAAATTGGAACAGATCTCAAATGTTCCCTGGACTTAATGCTGTTTAATACAGATGAACAATGAGCAGGAGAAAGGAAGTAATAAAGGGGAGTGAGGCTATAAAAGATGATTTATGGTGGAGAGGAAGTCCTGAGATCAGAAACTTGTATGAATCCCAATCATAGACCCATCTGGAGACAATCCAAAGATGAGATCAAAAACGTAAAGTGAGAAGGTTTCTGAGGGATATTAAAATTTGTAAAAGGAGGTAATACTTATTTTTGGCTTGAAATGAACAATTGAGTAGTTGACCAAATTGAATAGTTATATAACAATGGTGACCTTTTTATTTTACTCATTTTTTTTCAGCTGTCATCAGCCCCCAAACACCCAAACACACTGTTTTTTTCATTTATTTCTTGCTATTAGTAAATTACCCAGTGGGTAAAATGACTGGAAGAGATGCTCTTGTTCTGATAGATTATTCCATTTCAGGTATCAAGTCCTCTCATTTTGAGAACTTGGATTTAAGTTTTAACAAGGGAGTCAAACCACTGCCGAAACAGATTTGATATGCATACATACACATATACATGTATATGTGTGTATATATACATATTTGTTTGAAATATGATACAAATACATACACATACACATACACACAAATACATATATATGTACATACATATGTATACACACACAGAGGGAATGAAACTCAGTGGTTCAGTTATGGATTAGATGTCTTTGGTTGGAAGCCTAGCTCTACTATTAATTTACCATATGTTTTAAGCCAGTTCCGTCGTGGCCAGGAGCCCATCCAGCTGTGAAACAGTGATAATGCATGTATCCCTTCTACCCTGCCCATCCTTGGAGGGAGGCTCCACAAGCAGTCAAAAAACTAAGCCAGTGGGCTTGAAACAAAACCAGAGACATTGAGCCACACCTATCACATTCCTTTTAATTTTGGCAAAAACAAAAACAAAAGCAAAACAGAAGAAATATATATTGGACACAGCTGACATTAAGGTTTTGGTCGAAAATGTTAGTGCACTCAAAAAAAGATTTATAGAAGATCAGTTTCGGACATTCATACTAGATTGTTAGAGATTTTATCCAAGCCAACAAACATTTGGTAGACATCTGTTATGTGCAAAGTGAAATAGGTGTGTTCAGGGAAGACTAGGAGCTCTGGTGTGAGGGCTGCTGAACACTGTTGTGGGTCGTTTTCATTTGGTGTCCACTCGATCCACCCAGCTCTTACCTGTGGCTCCAAGAAGCTATAGCATGTGCAGTGGCCACAGCCAGGTAATCCATTTCAGCAGCTGGATTACACCAAGTTGACAGTAACTGAGGAGTTTTACAGTATTTGGTGACTTTTGGGGGGTATCTACCCCAAACATATAAAGATTCCCCCCATTAGAATGAGCAGATGAGAACAATTTGTTTCAACAGCCATGATGGTGGCTGAAGCAGGCACTGTGGAGCACTTAGAGCTTGGTTAGACATTAAAGACTCCAAGGCCATCTGCTGCATCCCCAGTCATTACCAGTCATCTTGACTTTGTCTTGCCACTGGCCTTCGATGACTCTGGAAGAGAGAGCGAGGCCAATGACTTCATGCAACTTTGTCTCACTTAAATCTAATTTATGCTCAAATCAAAAGATATCACCATACCATTTTACCATTTTTACCTATCTCAAAGTCCTATGGCAACAGGTAAGTGATGAAGCAACAGCTGTGGATACACTGGGAGGTGTAGTCACAACTCTGCACACAGATGGCCCAGGCCATACAGTCATCTTCTCACTGGAAGCAGCAGTGGGATTCAGCAGCCCCGTGGATGTCTGAGCGGCCTGTTTTAAGGACCCCACTGCTCACCTCCCAGTGTGAAGAAGGGGCTAGAAAAGGTGCTCTGAAATTGTCTGCTTCACCCAAACCTGTCCTGCTTACTGCAGCAGGTGAGGATCCCATCCTGTGGTCAAAACACACACTAATATACAAAACCTTTTGCTGAGATGATTGCATTCATTATCGATACATGAAACGTGCACATGTTTATGGACAACATGAAATTCAGTAGACCTGAAAAACAAACAGCTCTTGTTGAGAGAGAACTCAGCAGGTTCATCCAAATAGCAACCTTGAGTGAAACAAGACTGGCAAATTAAGGCCGGCTTACCGAAGTTGGAGATGAATACATTTTTCTGGAGAGGCCACGGTGAAGGGGAGCACCATGAAGCTGGTGCGGGTCTTGAAATCAAAACTAATGTAGTCTAGCTTGTGTGCCTACTAAATGGCAGATTCATAACAATGTGATTGCCACTTGCGGGAAAGCACCATCATCAATATGTATGCTTCTACTATGACAAACCCTGATGAGGTCAAAGAAAAATTTTATGAAGACCTCGAGACTCTCGTCATAGATGTGCCGAAAGGGGACAAGCTTATAATTCTGGGTGACTTTAATGCCAGAGTAGGCAGAGAATACAAGACATGGCAGGGAGTCCTTGGGAGGAACAGTCAGAAACAGCAGCAGCAATGGTCACTTCCTACTGAAGACTTGTGCATCTCATGAACGTCTCGCCAGCACCGTCTTCCATGCACCTCAATGCAATAAAATTTCGTGGATGTTCCCTTGCAGCAAACATTGGCATTGTAAGGAGAAGAGACAGACAGGATGTGAAAGTGTCAAAGGTGATGTGCCATGCAAAGTGCTGGACTGATCACAGACATCCTTTCCAAGCTAAACATTTGCATTCAACCATGGTGGCCTCAAGGCAAGAGCTAGTAGTGGTATTGCTGTGTCTAATGGTAGCCATCTCTAGGGGAGAGGGGAGGAGGGAAGAAAAAAAGTTACATGATAACTTTATATATTTCAAAGGAATAGCAAATTTTAAATAACAGATTTGTAGTTTCATGTGCAATCATGTTTTCCCCTATTCTACTATGTTATAGAAATGCTTGTTTTATTTCTTAATTTCAGAATAAAATAAATAAAATTAAAAAATATAAAATCCTCTGATTAATTTGAAATCGTTCTATTGGGCTAATTTGTGAATTGTTCAAGGTAGGTACTTAATACACTTAAAAATTGTAATTTAATTGAATTATCATGTTTATTCACATAACCTGGTATCAAAAGACTTGGATACAAATCCCACCTTTGATGCTCATTATTGGTATGACCTTCAGCTAGTCACTTAACCTCCCTCCACTTCAGTTTCCTCGTCTATAAAGTGAAGGTATTGGACTAAATGACCTCTGAGCTTCTTTGCAGCTCCAGAGCTATGACTCTGGAGATCTATCCTCTCCCACTCCCCACATAAATATGCCATTTAAAAATGTTATTTGCTGTTAAAACAGGAGCAGATAGCAAGGGACTGTCCTGATATGCTGGTTCAACATTCCCTTTGGCAGAAGCTCTGAAGACCTGACCAGAGCACTCCTTCACTGTTAACACCTCTTTAACAACTGTCCCAATTACTTGGTCGCTCCCAATTCTCCAACTGCTGGGACAAGGCTGTGACTCATTTTGATGCTGACAACCAAAGCAGTCTGCCAAGAAGAGAAGAGGATAGAGAGAGAAGGCAATTACACATTTCCTCCTCAGAATGCAAAACAATTCAGTTTATGTAGAATCCCTAAATCTTTTAGATACTTTCTGTGGTAGAGGCATAACTACAGTTGTCTTAATTGCAAATCAACAAATATTTGTTGAGAACTTGTTTCATACAGGACACTGTGCTAAGGACTGGGTATCATGCTAGTCACTGATAGCAAGTTTTCATGAAATATTTACTGATCCTCTACAGCAGTGGTGTCAAACTCAAATAGACATGTGGCCACTAAACTACCCATAAGAATCCCTTAGCGCCTCATATTGACTTCAAAAACCACGCATCAATTTTATCTAAGTTTGACTGTATTTTTATTGTATACTGTTAAACTTTCCTAATTACATTTTAATCTGGTTTGGGCAGCATTCCAGAGTATAATGGACTTTCAATTTAATAAGTCTAGCTAGGGGCTCTTTTACTGGCTCTGTATTCATCTGAGGTGTTGACTCCATGTTAATCATTTTCCCCCCTCATCATTTCCAGTATAAATATAACTCCTTGCAGAAAAAAGAGAAAAGGAATGAATTGAACAGCCCTGCCTCCTCTGTCTTCTTAGTTATTGTCCCATTTCTTCCCAAACAAAGGTCCTTTCCCTTCTTTGATCCTTCTTTTTCTCCCAACATAGTTAAAAATCGAAATAAAACAAAACAAAAGAAACCAACCTACAAAATCTTTTGTTGTCTTTAGCTTCCCTTGCCAGCCTCAGATCATTCTGGAATTTAGCATCCTTGATACTATTTTTAAAGGACTACACCACAATTATATTTATCCTCTATTACTTGTTCTTGCTTCCATGTTCTGTATATTTCCTTTAAAATCTAAGTTGGGTGATGAATTCCTTTTGTATCCACACCAATCCTTTCAGATGAATATATTTCCCCTGTTTTTAACTGGAATTGTCTTCCTTTATGTTCAGAATGTCATGCCTGAATATCTTCCATCTTTGACTTCCCCTGAAGCATTTTAGTTCAAGATATCCTACTTACTATTCCTCCAAACCCTTTGAAATCTGCTTTCCTAAAATCTAGGGTATATGTCAGACTTGTGGTCATTTTCCCACAAGATTCCCCATCATTTCCATTCCAGTAACCAGTTCCTAACTATTAGCGAGAATTAGATCCAGAACTACATTTGCCCATGCTGTTTCCTTCACCTTTTGAAGAATAAAGTGATAAATAAAGTAATTCAAGAAATGGTTAGGGCCTGCTTTTGGCAGAGAGAGAACTCCAGGAGCTGGCTGGGTAATTCAACTTCCCTATTACTATCGTATCATGCCTCTGTAATTGGCATAGAATGCCATGCTTGTGATCTATTTCTCAGATTCCTAGTCTATTTCCTATTTCTATCCATTTGGTCTATAGAATATTCCAAATACAAAATGACTTCTGTTTCTCCCTCCTTTAACCTTCATCTAAATATTCTACTTCATGCTCCCTGGTCTAGTTCCTGGATTCCTCAATTAAGTATTCCTTATACAATGCTACCCCACCCCCAGGTTCTATTTCTTCTGAATAAGGCATATACTTCCAGAGCCATTATCTGGTCATGGGTTTGATCCCATCAAGACTCAGTGATACCTATGAAGTAATATTTGCTGACTTGCTTATGACCTCTAGTTCCTTTTGTTGTTCACTAAACTTTGGGTTTGTGGGAATAGAGACTTGAGGTCATGGTTTTTTCTAAAGTCTACTTCCTTGAATTTTTTTTCTTTTGTCAATTTGTGGATGTCTCAGTTCTTTCTTTGTGGCTAATCTCTAATTTGGGGGAATCTATATAAGTAGACTTTTCCCCTAAATCTCTTTTTATTTAAAGCCCTTTTGATTATATTTGCAAGACCCTTGGAAAATATTTAAAATTTAATTTTCAGTTCTGAATTCTCTCCCTCCCAGCTCCCTCTCCACTTATTGATAAAGCAAGAAAAACAAAACTTATTACATATATAGTCAAGAAAAAAATTAGCCATGTTTAAAAAAAAGTCTTATTCTGTACTGCAAATCTATCACCTCTCTATCTAGAGGTGGAGAGCATGTTTCAGTCATTAGATCTCTGACATTTTGGTTGGTCATTGTGTTCATCAGTTACTAAGTTTTTCAAAGTTGTTTATCTTTACAATATCATTGTTATTTTATAAATTATTCTTCTGGCTCTGCTCACTTCATTTTGCATTAGTTTTACAGACACCACTCCTTTATCATTTCTTACACTTCACACTAATAAATTATAACTTTTCCGGACATTTCCCTGATTTATGGATACATCCTCAGTTTCCAATTCTTTGTCAAATACATTCTTGCCAACATTTAGTAGGTGTATTCCATCTATAGCTAGGAATACATCAACCCAACATAGTAGGCTTTGATCCGGAAGTCTAAATCTCATTCTAAGACATTATCTTCTTAGCCACATGTTTACTTCACGAATTAACTTGTCTCATTTGCCTCCCCTGCTTCCAATGGGTAATGGTGAGGAAAACACAACTCATGTTCTATGGTTTTCATTTTTGTTTTGCCCAAGACTTCATAATCATTGTCAATATTCGTTGGGTTCCTCAAAGTGTCAGTTGTGTTCTCATGAATCGACAGAAGTGGGTAATTGTCGCGTCTTTTGATAAATCTTGGGAAGTTCTCTGTTAAGAAGACAACATATATTTCTGCCGGGTGATGTAATGCTTAGACTGCTGGACCTGGAATTTCTAAGACGTGTATTCAAGTCCATCCTCAGATATAATCTGTGTGACCCTGGACAAGTCACTTTACCTCTGCCTGCCTAAGTTTCCTCATTTGTAAAATGGGGATAATAATAGTACCTACCTCCCGAGGCTGTTGTGAATAGCAAATGATATAATATTTGTAAAGCACTTTGTGACCTTTAAAGTGTTATATAAATGTTACTATTATTGTTGTTGTTGTTGTTGTTATGACAAATAGCTGCCAAAGGGCTCCTGAACAGGAAACGATCAACTACTAACTGGTCTTTTCTTTCTCCTCTTCTCTTTACTGGATCGCCCTCATCTCCGCTGCCACCTCCCTAGTCTACATTGCATACACTGCCGCTGAATCTCTTCTGTAGGTCACTCTTCCCTCTCGGGTTTAGCTTTGGCTCCTCCTCAAGCATCTTCCTCTGGGTCCTGAGCACGTGTATTCTGGGTTGTTCAGTCTCGTGTTACAGCTCAGTGGGTGTCAGGAATTATGCAGGTTCTCTAGAAGAAACATTTTGCTGATCTGACAATGTCAGATTGATGGATTGTTTCTGCATTTCTGAAACTCCTGATGACTGACCACCGAGGTGGTTTGCTTCCCTTGGCTTTTACTAAAGCTACACTTGCCTCAGCTTTTGTGGCTGAGGGAGTTGACAGGGATTCAGGATGGGGGATGGAAGAGGCTACATAGGCTAGTCTGTTGACAGGAGGACATTTCTTGATACGTCAGGGTTTCACCCTGTCAGGCACAGTTTTATGCATGTGGATTATTCTAAGTTACTGTGAAATCAGGAGAAGAAGGGCTAGAATAGGGGCATCATATCTAACATGAATTATCCATGCATGATTTCCTTCTTATGTTAAACATAAATGGACCTGGGATTTCTGCTTCCCCCCTGAAAAGTATGTGAAGCTGTTGTGTGGTACATAGAATGCTGCATCTGAAGTCAGGAAATTTGGATAGGAGACTGCTACTTAGCAGCTGTGTGGGAAGATCTTTTATACCCTCTGGTCCTCAATTCCCTCATTGGACCAGAGCATAGGATCATAGATAAGCTAGAAGAGATCTCAGGAGCAATTTAGTCTAATTTTATCATTTTACTTATAAGCAAACTGAGGCCCAGAAAGTTAAGTGTTTTACCTAAGTTCACACAAGTAGCATGCATCAACATTGTATCTAGTAACAGCAATATTGTAAGGATGACAAACTGTGAAAATCTTAGCTACTGTGATCAAGACAATGATCCAAGACAATTCCAAAGGATCCATGATGAAAAATGCTTTTCACCTACAGAAAGAGAACTCTGAGTTGAACTCTGAGCATAGACTGAAGCATACTTTCTAAAAATTTATTTTTCTAGCTTTTTGGTACATTTTTTTTGCAACATGGCTAGTATGGAAATATATTTTGCATATCTTCACATATATAAATAATATAATATTACTTGCCTTCTCAAGGGGTGAAGGAAGGGCAGGCAGGAGGGAGAGAATTATTTAAAGAATGAATATTAACAATTTTTACATGTTATTGAGAAATATTTAATGACATAAAAATAATAAAAAATATTAAATTATATAATTTTTATAAATTATATCAGTATTATAACTTTTATAATTATTAAATATTGCTAATGTACTAAAATTAATAAAAGTATATCTTTAAAAAGCAAGTAGTATGCACTAGTCAGGATTTGAACCTGAGCTCTGTACCTCCTGAACCAATTGTCTTTGTACTGTATAATGTTACTTCCTCATGCTCTGTTACTTCCCTTCCAATTTTGATATTTTACAATTCTGCTAAAAATGCATTGGTTTTGATGTGCTGACTTTGTGTTTAAATTGAGAGCTATGTAAAGGAGGTATGTTATCCAACAAGAAGGATTAGACATTTTTTCTGATCCTCATGATCACTCACATCTTTCCAAAATAGGAATTATGTATAAGAGATAAATCAATTTCAGCTTCTCCATAGCCTGAGATTCCATCTCAGGATGAGAGTTGAGGATCACGAAGAGCTTCCTTCAGAAGGTAGGATTTAAGCTGAAACTTGACAGAAATCAGGAAGCAGAGGCCCTTACCTCTGGTGAGGAAGTTCATTCCAAGTGTGGGGAGACAATTGAAAAGGCACAGAATTAGGAGACAGTGTCCAATACGCTTGGAATATTCAATTTTACAGTAGAGAACACTGAGGTCTAGGTTGGTAAAGTGAATTGCCCAAGGTCACATAGGCAGAAAGTGTCAGAGCTGGGATTTGAACTCAGGATTTTGATTCCTGAGTTAGTGTTCTCTCCACTGAAAAACATTGCCTTCCCAAATCACTTTTGTTTTCTCCCATTGTTTCTCATATGATGTGGCTTATAGGATTCTATAAATTCGTAGTCAGAAAGGAAGCCATATAGCCCAATCCTTACCTAAGGAGGAATTTTCTCTCCAACGTTCTTATCAAGTGGTCATAGAGTCATTTGAAGAACTCCAGGAACAGAAAGTTTACTACCTCATGGAGCAGCCCATTTCACTCTTGGGCTGTTTTAATCTGAGTGTATTTCCTGAAAAAAAAAAATCCAAATTATCCCTTTTTGCAGTTTCCACTTATTACCCTCAGTTCTGAACTCCTGGGCTAGGCAGAACAAATCTCTTTCACAGAACAGCCCTTTAAATACTTGAAAACAGCAATTATTCCTTTAAACTTTCTCCATTCTAAATTATACGGACACAAATCCTCTTCTTCCCCTTCCTCTATCCTTTCTCTCCTCCTCCAAGCAACTGGCATACTACAGCCACTGAATTCATATTTTCTCATTGATTGTTGTACTGAAGTATACCAAGTGAGAGATAATCTATCAGAAGATGGATTTCAGCTCAATATAAAGGAGGATTGATTTCTGTTCAGAACAGTCCTGCAATGGAATGGGAGAACTCACTATCATAGGAGGTCTTGAGTTTATCATCTCTGGAGCTGTTCAAGAAGAAGTTGGATAATCACTCACCATCGATGTTGTGGAGAGAAATCCATACTTCAGGTATGGGTTAGACTAAATGGTCTCTGAGGTAGGATCTTACCAACTTGGAGACTGTGATTCTGAGGAAGCATGGGAAACTGTATTCTGGTGTCTTATGTCCCAGACTGAAACTCTGGGAAACACTTCATCCACAGAGATTTGGATGTGGCCCTTGTTCACTGAAGCTAATTAGAAAGGAAATGTTGTCTATCCAAAGAACTGCCAAGCTTCTTTGCCAGAAAAGCACTAGGCAATTTGTATCCTTTCTCTAATCCATTAAATGAGAAGAGATTACTGGGTTACTTTGATGCTCTCTAAATTCTGAGACCAAAGCTCTGTGCTATCTGTGGTTCCTGTGTCATGGCCTTGTAAAGAGAAATGCCTCAGGGAACCAGGAAAAATGGCTGTTAGAAGAAGCTACTTATTTGCTCATCAAAGCAACTAAATACGTATTAAGCAAGAAACCTCACATCACCCTTTGCCTTTTTCCTTTGAGAAGTCAGTAGTTCTTTTCTGGGGTGTGGGGGGGAATTAGTTTAAAATTTAGCAGAATGTATTAATAAGGAGCACTATACTCATCATTTAAAATGAGTGTCATTTATCTCACATCATTCTAGATGAGTCAATTTTCTAGATAACTGAAGTTTATGCTATTAAGCATCGAAACTTTCTTTTCCCTGTTTTAGCTGGAAATTGTCCTTTCTAAAGGGCTTTAAATGCCAAGTGGAGGAATGATGACTAGAGTAGTGGGCAAGAGCCCTCAATTCAAGGACAATTCTGTCATCAAGTGCTTTTTCACTGTGTGACCTGACGCAAATTATTTTTCCTCTCTGGGTTTCTTCATCTGTAATATGAGGATAAGAAGTTGATGCTTCTTTGACATCTCCACCACACCCTAGGCTAACAAGTACCAAATTAAAAAAATTTTTTTTCTTGATCTTCAGAGCAAAAACATGAGATATCATGTATAAAAGAAACTACCTTCCTCAGCTAAAGACAGAAGGCACAAAAGTTAAAATTTTTCAGATTTTTCAGGGCATTGTACTTTGCAGAGGAAAAAAAACCCACCAGAATTTTACTTTCAATTTTCAGTAACTAAAAAGCCTAGGAAGGTCTCAGAAGCTATAATTTGGCATTCAAAGGTGGACTTTCCCTATATCTTTAATAAAATATAATTTCTTTAAACCTACTCGTGATATGAATATGTTTTTGCTGAAATGTATACTCTTGATGGACAAAGATACTGTTTTGAGCACATTTTGATGAGGAAACATTATTGAGATAATCTCATTATCTTGCAAGATAGCATCAGTGTTAGTACTCACACCTCATCCCTACACTTTGCTACTCTTATTGGAGGGCACAGTCATGAACTCCAACTCCATCAATTAAGGAGGGGGCTCAGGACAGACATCTCCTTATTTCCTACCTGGCTACACTACTTTGGGACTTCTACATCATCATTTTACCCAGGAAGTTTTTTAGTTTCTGTATTTTCCTCCCCATCGCCCTATCGCCTCATTGGATTGTAAGCTCCTTGAGAAGTCTTTTTTTTTTTTTCATTTTTGTATCCCTGGCACTTAGCACAGTACCTGGCACATACTATATGCTTAATGAATATTATTGTTATTAACAATGTTAATGTTATTAACAAAGATATTTCTGAGCTGCAATTAGTGTATGTAAGCAAGTTCTAAACCAAGGACTATATGAATATCATCAGTTCATTGGTTATACCAATGATTATTTGAACACTGAACAATACAATAATGCTCTTGGGTGGATTGTATTGTGTGGGACTGTTTTCTGCTACACTAAATAGTCCCTACATTACTGAGCTTTTGTTGGTGATTTATCTAGCTCTTCTTTTGATAGTTATTTGACAGTTGGCAATGTATCAGCTTCAAACAGCTAAACCCTATTTTCTACTCTGCCTTCATTATTTCTAACATATTGGTTTTTTTTTTAACTGAAGAAGGGCTGAACATTTTTAGAAGGGACAGAATCACCAACTTACTGAATTAGTAGCTTTATTTTACATAAAATTCTAAGTGAGTAGTGCATTATGGGATAGTGGCTCTCTGCTATACATGGGCTTTATAAGAGATGCTTTCCTCCTAGCTCTGAGGTCTTTGTAGCTTACTTAAGATGTATAAGTTGTTTTGAAAATCTGATGCTAACAAAAGTGGTGTCTTGCATATATTTGCCCCTATGTGGTTTCAGAATTATGTCATAAATAATAATGTATGTTTATAATACTAATAATGTGATTTAATATAATTGCTGTACAAAGGTACTTCATTCCATGTATATAGAAAGCTGGAGAAAGGCAACACTTTCTCCAGAGGTTAAGCAGTAAATTGGAGGAGAGAAATAAGACAGGAGTTAGCTAAGGTAGAAGGGTCAAAAGGAGGCTTTATAAAAAAGATTTAGAGAGCTGGACATTTTTGTAAACATATGAGAAGAAGGCAGTATTGAGGGCAAGCTTTCTAGAGGAGAGTGAAGCTGTCATGGAATCATCTGCTGTGACAGCTACAGAAACGGATTTCCTGAGGAAATATTCATGAGGGTTGTTCTCTCTTCAATGTTGCTACTCATGGTTAGACTTATTGTATAGCTTATTGGTGTAATCTAAGTTAAAAGTTCAGGGTCTCTGTGAGACAGTTTAGCAGAGTGCAGAAAACACAAGATTCTGAGTCAAGGACCAACGTATTGAAATTCTTCTAATCCCAGCTCTGCCATTCCCATCTAAAATGACCTTTAGCAAGTAATTTACCCCCTCTCTCAGTTTCCTTATCTGTAAAAATGGGAGTTGGACTATGCAATCTTTGAAGTACTTTTTGACTGAAAATTTTATGAGGCTGTAGTCCTTTACTAAATCCACACTCATCTAACACTATTTAGCAGCATGAAAATTGAGCTGAGCCTCCTTGGTTGAAGAAGACTGATTTCTGAAGATAGTTATACTGTCAGGAAGGGAGGTAAGAATGGGTGGGGAAGGAACAGGGCTATAGGTACATGGACAATTGTAAAGGTGAACAAAGGTTCCCCTTAATTTAGCCTTGACCAATTAGAGACACTCATGGCCATGACAGGACAACGCAGCTCCTCAGTTATCATAGGATTGTACTTAGACTGGTGCAGATGAGGTTGGGGAGGAATACACAAATCATCCCTTTGGAGAAGGGTTCTAGCTTTTCCCACTATCCAAGAGAAATTAGAGCAACAGCCACACGAAGGGGACTAACTCCAACAATGCCTAACGGGCATTAGTCTTTGATGGCAGGGTAGGAACTGAATATGATGTGGCTGTATTTGCACTGTATTTGACAGTGGAGAGTGCTAGACTTGGAGTCAGGAAGACATAAGTTCAAATCTTGCCCAAGGTCACAAGGTTAACATAAGTCAGAAGTGGGACTTGAAAATGGCTCTTTATGCTTTTTGTGGCCAGCTCCAGCCACTACACTGAACTGCCTCTCTAGTGTTGAATAAAGGTAATCGGATTGCTGGTTTGGGGGAAGGAAGGAAGGAAAGAAGAAGGGAAGGAAGAGGGGAGGAAGAGAAGAAGGGAAGAAGGGAGGAAGGGAGGGAGAGTGAGGAAAGAAAGAAGGAAGGAAAAAAGGAAGGAAGGGAGGAAAGAAAGAAATCAAAGAAGGGATATGAACTCTGCTCAGGATGGAAGGGATGGCGATAACTGACAACACAGAGAAAACAGTTGCTCAATTTTTATGTCACTTCTCTTTTCTTTGCCAAGAAGACTAATCTTTTGACAAGAAAGGACAAATGAAAAGGGGCCAATGGAGAGCTGATCCCCAAGATAAATCAGTAGATAAGAGACAGCACTGACTTGGTCCAGGTGAACTGCAGCTTCAGGTGCTAAAAGTACTGTTGGATATGATAGAAAACTTTTGAAGACCAGAAGTCGCAGAGGTGATGCTGACCATGCATTGGCAAGAGAGGGTTTCCTCATCAGGTAGTTCTTTATGCCAATGAAATCATGGATCTTCTCTCTATACTTATTCAACTATACACTGAGAAGAAAATTCTGACCTCTAGCACTCTTGACACTTTTCTTACAGCACCATGCCATGTTTTTGTTTTCACTCTTTGTTACGTGTTCCCAGAGGGTCTCATATTCTGTATATGTCAATCTATTTTTTTTTTGTTTCTTCAGACAGCTACTGTTTTCCTTCCTCATTAGAGCTGTTTCTGGACTCCCTCTAGTTTTTTATTGTTTTTTTCTGAAATGTAGAGTCTAGAATTGAATGCTCCAAAAAGGAGATAATTAGGATAGAACATTTGTCACCTTTCTTATCTGGATGTTATGTACTTTACTGTACTCTAAGATCACAGATTTTGGCAGTGACACCCAACTGTTGATTCATATGGAGCTTTTAACCCACTTGAACCCCAGGTTTTTTTTTTAAGATGAGGAGTTAGTCATGCCCCTCTCACCCTATTCTTAGAAAGTTGAGTTTCTGAACTCAAGTGTTTAATTTATATTTATTCCTATTAAATTATATCTTATCAAATTCAACCCACAATTGTAGTGTTTCAAGATATTAATAGATCCTAACTCAGCCATTCACTATATTAGCTATTCCTCCATGCTCTGTGTACCATTTGAAAATGTAATCAGCATGTCATCCCCAAGCCACAGAAAGAACACAGAAGCAAATAGCACTCTGAGGCTGAGAGGTTAAACCAGGTTAGAGTAAGCCAGGTGTTGTTGTTGAGTTGTTTTTTTCAGTTGTGTCCAACTCTCCATGTGAAGATATTGGAGTAGTTTGCTATTTTCTTCAGCTCATTTTACAGATGAGGAAACTGAAGCAAACAGGGTTAACTAACTTGCTTAGGGTCGCACAGCTAGTAAGTGTCTGAGGCCAAATCTGAACTCAGGAAGATCAGTTTTCCTGACTTCATGCCCACTACTCCATCCATTAGACCACCTAGTTGCCCTAGTGAGGTCTACGCAAAAATTGGGTCAAACCCAAGGACATAATGTTTGATAGCCATGAGAACCATCTTTCTTTTTCTTCCCCAATTCTTTGCTTCACAGAATGTGGAAACATTCTAA